CGGAACTGACTCCACGGCACATAACAACAACAACATAGTTTGCAGAACCCTGTGTTAAATAACAAGATTGATCAGCAGCTCTAATAACTATCCTTGGGCTGAAGGAAATGATATATCGAGGTATCTAAAACAATAGAATGAGTTATGAAAAATTTTCCCCACTCACATTTACCAGCCCTTCGAATTCTATCCACATGCCTGTGGTCCCATAATAAGGAATTCCCTTAGAGACATAAAGTTCAAAGTCCTCATAACAGAGTTTAAGGTCATCAATATTCTGACCTCTGCCTAACATCTTAATTTTTCATTCATTCATTCAGTCAATAAACATGAATGGAGTTTATTTTGTATCAGACAAATGCTAAGCATTAAGGATGTAGAAGTAGACAAGGCAGGTAACAAATTCTCATCTTTTCTCTTACTCTTGACAAAATTAAGTGATTTTTGGGTATATCTGTGATTTGCACATAAAAGTCAGATTGTTCATGACCTCCAAGAACCAATCTTCATTCCTCTGGCAGTGATGTCGCTCCAGTTGAGGATCCAGGCTCTTGGGTTATTGCCATAGCTGTAGCTATCCCCGTAGCTATGACGACAGAGCCTGCAGAGGCCAATCCTAACAATGCCACTTTCTTTATGAAGTAGGTAATGAAATGTGGGCTGGTTTGAAGGGTTAAGACTTTTTCTATATTAAATTGAGCAATCTTTAAAATTACAGTTAAAAGTAGGGCCACCATCCAGATTTTCAAATGCAGCTAACACTTACTCTGTCCGAATGTTGTCATCAAGCTCCACATCTTCCAGAAATTTGTTGGCCACTAGCTCCAAGGCATCTGTGGGCCAGGACTGGAACCAATCAATTGTGCAGCAGTTGATCAGCGACGGGAACATCCTCAGGCGATTCCGGAAGGCGTCTCCAATTGGACTCATGGCTTACAGAAAGTAACTTTATTAGTTCCATTCTCCCAAGGCAAAGAGACCCCCAAGGAAAAGGTAGGTGTTTCCAAGGGTTCTGGTCAGGCAAGGCAGGGATAGAGTATGTTTCCCTTTGGTTTTTTGCATGTGTGATCAGGAATATTGCTGTTGTTAAGTACTGTGGAGTCAGTTCCGACTCATAGTGACCCGGCACAGGGTTTCCGAGACTGTATATCTTTACGGGAGCAGAACTCCTATCTCTATCCCACAGAACCACTGATAGTTTTGAACTGCTGACCTTGAGGTTAGCAGTTCGATTTGTAACCACTACACTACCAGAGCTGCTTGTGATCAGGTATCGGTATGATAAATGCCTGGGGAAGTTTAAGGACATCCTTAGATATTTTCATGCAACTTTATGATAGGATCTCTGTATATAATAGCAGCCTTATAACTGGTCTTTCATACCCACTGTTCTTTCTTCCAGATGTTTCTGGTTACAAACTAAGGGTGGTATGAATTCTTTGACCCACTTTCTCTATTTGTACTAACTCATAGACAGAGCTATGGGTAACCCACAGTTGCTTACAGCAGTTGTGTGGGCCATGAGTTGGTTTCTGACTCCAAGTCCCTCCAACCACAGATCTTGAGCTGTACACCCAAATTCCATTAATTTGTTCTTTACTCTCAATATGCCGGGAAGAAACATAAAAGCACAAATGGAACTTTGAGAAAGTCAGTGTGGTTGAAGAAGAGAGAGAAAAGGGAAAAGTTAGTTAGAGATGAGGGTGGAGACAAATTGCGATAATCTGGCAGGGACTCTTGCCTTACAAGACCACATGTTAAGAATTTAAATTTTTATTCTAAAGTTGTTGTTTTTAAGCACTGTCGAGTTGGTTCCAATTCATAGCGGCACTGTGTAGGATTTCCGAGGAGTGGCTGGTGGATTTGAACCTCCAAACTTATGGTTCAAACTGACCTTGCAGTTCAGAGTTTATCCTACAGTGCTACACCAGGACTCCTTATCCCATTAGACAGCTATTTAAATGTTTGTGTGTATGTGAAAGAGAGAGAGAAACATTTGGAGTAAATTAAAAAGAAAAAAAGGCATCCTGATTCCGTGAAATAGAAAGTTCTGGAAGGGACAAGAATGGATATAGAGAGGGCAGTTAGGGATTAGGCCTAGGTGAAATAATGGCAATTTAGCTAATGTGAGGATGATGGAGATGGAGAGAAATGGGTGAATATGAAATAGATCCAGGAGGTAAAATTCTGAAATAGATCCAGGAGGTAAAAATCAATAGGACTTGGTAACAAGAGAGGCATTAAACACAACTCCTAGGTTTCTACACCTAAAGGGAGAAAATCAGACTGGATTTGCTCCTTCTTACCAAGGACGATGTGAAGGTTCTTCTTCACTCTTTCAATAAAGAAGTTATACATAGAAAGAGGAGTGATTTCCATCTTCTCTCCTTCTGTTCTCACTGCCATTTGCATCTTCTCCACAATGTCAGCTTTCTCATCAGCCGGGAAGATGTTGGGCACATCACCTGTGTTCAGAAGCATGTTGATGTCTTCAACGAACGACTCGTCCTTGATCTGGTTGTCAGCAAAGAGGAACACGGTACTCTTGATGGCCACACCGACCTGCAGCATGATCTTCTTCAAGTCCTCTCGCCATTCGTTGCCTGTGTAGTTCTTGGTGATCTCGATCTGGTATAGCTCACATGAGTTCATAAATGTGGACAGTTTGGTGGCGCTCTGCCGTCCACTGCCCCCAATGCCCACCAGAAGTAAGTGGCCTTTGCTCTGTTTCAGAACCCTGCAAATCCGGGAGATGTGCTCAATGGCGAACTTGAACATGACCAAGGACATGGGGGCCTTGCTGATGTTGTTGAACTCTTCTAGGTAATACTCCATGACCACAGTGAGTTGTTTCAGGTCAGTGATTTCATCATAGATTTTCTGGTCACTCTCTGGTTGGAAGAAATCTCCAAAGAAGAGGCTGCGGATGTTATCATCAACAATCTTTCCAGTGGGTGAGAGGTGGATGAGGACCTGTGAGAAAAATAAGCCTCAGCTAAGCATTCAGCCAAGGTTCCAACCAGGATGTCAGTGAGAGATATAGAGGGAGGAACAGGGACTGGGCTTGCTCGCTAAGCACATTCTTCAAAAGACAGGGCTCACCAACAGATTCTCATTAAAAATACATCATATGTGTACAGCTATGAAGAAGATGATGAAAGGACAGAAAAGAGAGTGTGAAAGCAAAGACCCATCTGTTTGCTAAGTGCTTAGATTATTAGTGGTTGGATTTTAAGACCCCCAAAAAAGGTAGTCAAAAGATGGGGCCATTTTGTTATGTGCTTGCTCCAACACCAAACAGATTCAAGGACCACCACCGGTCTCTGCTCTCTGTGTCTGAAGTAGTAATGTTTTAGATGCTTCCTCTTTCTGATATTAAGAACCTGGTAATACTCTGTGCTTAGCCTCTGGATTCAACACTTGCAATTTTTCTATAAAATATTCACAACTTCTTAGCAATAGAGGCAGAGCTAGATGATGATTTAAATACATAGGTTTAAAATGGCTTTTAAAATGGAAAATAGAAAATACTCAGAAATAGGACACCATTTCTTTACCAATCAAACCATGAAAATTCATGGTTCATTTATTACCTTCCAAATGAAATGATCCTAAAAATACATTTTAACTTTATCATTATATTGTACACAACTCTGAGTGATCCAAATGGTGCTATAGGTTAAGTACTCGACCTCAAAGTCAGTTCGAATGGCAAGTTTGGCGGTTCAAATTCACCAGCTTCTCCTTGGAAACCCTATTCAGGGTTACTCTCAACAACAAGAGGGCACTTAACAAGAACAACATGGTCACTGTGAGTCAGAATCAACTGAATGGCACTTAACAACAACAATGGAAGTAAAACAAAATTGGATCAAACAAAACATTTCCAAATGAAACGACTATTTGACTTAGTCCTCTTTCCCAAGAATCAGAGAGCACAGCTATTGGTCTCCACAGGGAACCGAACCTAAAATCTGAGACTACTTGGTCAAACATTTGGGATCATTTCTGAAGCTAAATGCTCACAAGATTCTGACTTACCTTTTCCACAGTCTGCTTGAAACAATTGGCAGTCGTCTCCTTCACCATGTTGAAGAAGACCTGTCTGTCCTCCTGGTCAATCAGACGGTCATAGAAGACCCGATAAACCTCATGGATCCAAAGCCGGATAAATTTTTCTACATCCTGAAAATTCAGAGAGAAATTGTTTGGATGAATGGAAGGTGTAGGAGGAGACTGCTGTCAAGCAGAACTGACTGGGTTGATGTGAGGATTAAATGAGATAATGCTTTAAAAATACTTGTCCTAATGCCTAACACAGACTGTTGTTGTTGTTAGGTGCCATCGAACACTGCCCGATCCTGGGCCAACCTCACAATCGTTGCTACGTTTGAGCCCATTGATGCTGCCACTGTGCCAATCCATCTTGATGGGGGTCTTCCTCTTCTTCTCCAAATCTCTACTTTACCAAACAAGATATCCTTCTCTTCAGTGACTGGTCTCTCTTGAAAATATGTCTGAAGTATGAAAGACGAAGTCTGGCCATCCTTAATAAAACCCCTTATATTAAGCACAGACCAAGTGCTTAATAAAAGTTAGCTGTTATGATTATCATTATATTTCACATAGCTAAGGGTACTAGTGAATAATCCTGATTAAAGAAGAGACAGGGGCTGACCTGCAGGTGGGTATGAGGGCAGAGCAGAACCCCTTGGATCACTCGAGAGAAGTCTCGCAGGTTAAAGACGTAATGAGACTTGGAGGGAGTTGGCAAGAAATTTTCTACTGCAGCTTTATAAATGGTCATAGTAGCTTGCACCATTATCTTTCCATGCCTTGGGGAGAAGGAGAGGGTAGACAGAACAGTCAACAAGAGACCCAGACTGAGAGCCCTTAAATCAATCTGTGGAAGACAAAGGAGTCTCTTACCTTAAGAATGCCACATCAAACCCTTTCCCAAAGTGCCAGTCAGCAATAGAACTGAAAATCTTGGTTAATATCTCATCCTCAAAGCCATTGATGGAAATGATATTCAGATGGCGAGTGAATCGTCCTGGAGAAGAAGTACACATGCAACCACACTTAACCAGCAACCCTAGGTGGCAATTGCTAATCTACTCTCTGTCTGTATAGATTTACCTATCTATATGTCTTTAAAAGACTTTATCATAAAGTAAAACACAGATCCAGAAAATGACAGAAAACAAATGTACATTTTTGCATTAGTATACATTTGTATAAGGTTAAAAGCAACCATCTAGGTCATGCTACTAATAGTGAATAGTCCCTGGAGAAGGGTATCATGCTTGGTAGGGGGTCTGTGAAATAGAGGAAGACCCTCAATGAGGTGAATCACACAGTAGCTGCAATACTGAGCTCAAACAAAGGGACAATTATGAACATGGTACAAGGATGGGCAGTGTTTTGTCCTGTTGTACACAGGGTTGCTATGAGTCAGAATCAACTCAGTGGTGCTTATCAACAACATAGCTACCATCCAGGCCAAGAAACAGATGTGTGCTAGCCTTCCATAGAAACCCCTCCACAAGTCCCATCATCATCAAAATTCTCTCTTTCCCTCCTTCCCCAAATTACTACTATTCTATCCTTTCTAGTAATAGCTTCCTTACATTTAAATGGATTTTAATCATCCAAGTGTTCATTCTGATACACCAGAGTTTAATCCTACTAATTAAAAAAGTGTAGTATGTCTTTGAAATCTCCTTTAATCTATAGGTTCTGCCTCTATCCCTTTTATCTTTTGTCTCTTGAAAATCTGGACAGTTTGAGCTGTAAAATTTCCCAAAATTGGGATTTTGCTGATTGCATACTTAAGGTTTTGTAGCAAGTTTTCCTGTCTTCTGCACTTCTTACAAATTTGCTACTGGATGCAGAGTCTTGTCAACTTTGGGTTCTACCCCTTTGGCAAGATTATAGGTGGTGGTATGTTCTTTTATGGAAGGCACATGATGATGTTTCTTCTTTTGTGATGTTGGCAGCTACTTATGCTCAATGTCTAGAGTCATTAATTCACTGGGGGGATTACTGAATGGTAACATTCTATAATGTATTTTCATTTTACTTCAAAGTTGGACGACTTTTATAAGGAAACACATCCCCTCATCAATTATTTGGTTATACAGTGGTACATTTTATATAACAAAAAAGTAAGGATAAATGCTTGCTTCCTTCCATGTTTTCATCAGTTTCCAAGATGAGTTAGTTCCTATGATCCTCTGAATAGGACCAATTATTAATTATTATAGATTCATTGATCCAAATATATTTTGATTCGTTTCGATCATTATAATTATCCTTTTTACTATGACCCTAGTAGTTCTTGATAACTTTCTCATTATCTAGTATATTAAGATGCTCCCAGCATATCTTGTATAGTTCCTACCCCAATTATGTGATCAGCTATTTCTTCAAGATGACTTCAGGTCAATTAGATTTAAAAAACCATAAGCTGGGTGCCAGGCATGCTTATTACTAGTGGGTTGGCTCTCACAGTGCACATTAGTAGACATAATGTGTTAGTACTAGTATTTACAAATTGAATTTGGGCTTTCATTGAACTATATGAGAGTCTTCAAAAAGTTAATGGAAAATATGCTAAAAGTATGCATGGATTTAAAAAATGTTTGCACCAAAATAAATGTACACCAACTTGTTATAACATGTATAAACAGGATGTAGTTTGAGGCATGAAGAAGAATAAGATATCAGCTTGAAACACACCCTATCACAGCAACGTGAATTCTGCTGAAGTTGAAGCAAGAACAGACATCACATTTATGGTGAAGCTTGGGTGGAAGAATGGTAGAATCCTTGTTGCTTTATAAACAGCTTATGGGTCCAATGCCCCAAAGAGACCAGCAGGTTACAAATGGATAACTTGTTTTAACAAGGGATGAGGCTATGCGACTAACCAGTCACATCAATTTCTGAGGAAAATACTCATCTTGTTCATGCCCTCATTGAAAAGGACTCAAGATTAACAGCAGAAACAAAGCCAGCACCATAGACATCTCAATTGGTTCGCCTTACACAATTCTGACTGAAAAACTAAAGTTGAGTAACCTTTCCACTTGATGGGTGCCAAAATGTTGCACCCAAATCAGCTGCAGACAAAACAGAGCTTTCAAAGGAATGCTTAAATAAGCAGTATCAAGATCCTGAAGTATTTCTTTAAATAATTGTAACAGGAGATGAGACATGGCTTTACCAGTGTGATCCTGAAGACAAAACACAATCAAAGCAATGGCTATCCAGAGAAAGTCATGGTGCAGTCCACACTTAAGTCAAGAGCAAAGATCATGGTAGTAATTTTGCAGGGATACTAAAGGCAGTTTGCTTGTTGCCATTCTGGAGAATCAAGGAACAATATCTACTTGTTGTGAGAGTTGTTTTTTTTTTTTTAATGTTTTTATTGTGAGGTTTACATGGAAGAATATCAGTTTTACATTCATCCTATTTTATTTTATTTCACTGCAATGATTACAATCCTCTCCATGCATCATCAAATAACCGAAGGATACACCCTACAGGCCCACCCCCATTGCCATTAGCACACAGCCCCTCTCCCTCCTTGAGTCCAGTGCCCCCATCTGTCCACATCATCATCTCTGTCTCCATCTCTGGTGTCTCTGTCTTTCTGGGTAGGGTCCCGCTCTCTGTTTTCTCACTTGACAGTCCCAGGGACCTCCGCTCCTGGGCTGCAAAATTAACCACTCCCCTCCTTTTGTCAAAAAACATCTACCTCTATATTTCCTACCCTCACAGTCAGTCCTGATGGCAATTATTCACTTTTGTACCACAAGAGTCTTATCCCCATTTCCTTTCACTAGCCTGGTCCCCACAGATTGGAAACCATTCAGTGGAGATTCTACCTTCCCCTGCCCCATCTGGAACTAGGCTCCCTCTTTTTTTTTTTTTTTTTAAGCTCCCTCTTGAAAGCTTGTAAGCCAGTCACTTCTTGCCTTTATACCCCCCCCAGCCACCACCACCACTTTTGGGTAACCAGTGTCCAAGTTGCCCATCCCTGTCAACCCTGTGTACCAAGGGTGTGGGAGTGATCCTCGCTGTAAAGATTTGTTTCCTTTTTTGAGCTACTATATCCACAAGTATAGGTAAAGTTCATCAAATTGTAGCAGGTTACTCTTTTTTTTTCCTCCTCTTCTTTTTCCTTCTAGTCAAGTTCTGATCATCCAGCCATCGAAGTCAGGTCAAGTGGGTACTATCTGCAAGTATGGGTGTTCTTGTGCATCTCCCCTCACTTCATATCAGCTGGATGCTTCACTCTCCACTCTAGTCCTCTGTAGCCATGTCACTGCCTCTGGGCCCAGGACTCCCCAGGTCTTATCATACTACTGACCATCCAGGTCTCCACCTGGGTTCAAGGGGTCTATTGAATGTGGTCGGACTTAACTCACAACTTCATTGCTGTTTTTTTCCCCAATGTGATCATGTGAGAGTACTTTGAAAGCTAGCCACAACTTTAACAGAAATACATCAGATGGGAAACGTTGTCCACCAAGGTAATATTCTTGCTCATTCTTTTCATTAAACAAAAGCAATTTGATGGAAAATCATTAGGCATCCACCTTACAGTCCTAATTTGACTCCTTCCAACCCATTTTTATTTCCAAATATTAAGAAATATTTAAAAGACACCCATTTTTCTTCATTTACTGATGTAAAAACAACTGTACTGATGTGGTTAAATCCCCAGGAGCCTAACTTCTTTGTTGTTGTTGTTGTTGTTAGGTGCCATGGAGTCGGTACTGACCCATAGTGACCTTATTATGCACAGCAGAATGAAACGCTGCTCGATCGTGGGCCAACCTCACTGCTGTTGCCACGCTTGAGTCCATCGATGCTGCTACTTGGCCAATCCATCTCATTAAGGGACTTCTTTACAGATGGACTAAATGGCTGGTGACACCACTTACAAAAATGTCTTGACTTTGATGGGGTTTATGTTGAGAAAGAAAGCTTATCATTTTGATTTTTAAATTTCATTTCCCCAAAAGCTTTTTGAAGTCCCTCATATTTTATCTTTACTTTCACAGTGAAACTCCTGGTTGTTAAGGAAACAAGGGATAATAGGAATAGAAAAATTCACAATTACTCATTTACCTAATTTACCTTTACAGGTATCACAGTTGGAGAAAAATAATATACTATGAGCCCTGTTTGCTCAGTGTAGCAAACGGTTGCAGGGTAAAACTTACCCAATACCTCCAGGGAGAAAGGTCTAACACTCTGCTTCTGGAAAGAAGACAGCAGCCAAGAAAATGTTGTGAGGAAGTGCTACTTTGTTACATGGGGTCACTATGAGTCTGAAACAACTTGATACCTAACACCACCAACATAATCACTGACCAATTGTGATAGCTGGAAAGCTAAAAAAAAAAAGTGTACATATTACCCCTATCCCCTTTCCTTATTTGTTGTGATACAGCTACATAATCATATCATATAGCCTAGTACATATTATAATATCTCTTATTTATTCTCAGTTCAACAAATAATCATGTATTTAGTACTCATTATTATTAGAATTGGAGTCCTGGTGTGGTGCTGTGGGTTAATGTGCCAGACTGCAAAGCCGTTTGAACTGCAAGTTTGGCAGTTCAAGCTTACCAGCTGCTCCTTGGAAACCCTATCCAGGGTTGTTATGGGTCAGAACCGACTTTATGGCACTTCACAACAACAACAACTAGAAGAATTGATGCATTTGAATTATGCTGTTGGAGGAGAATATTGAGAGTACCATGGACTGCCAAAAGAATAGATCTGTTTTGGAAGAAGTGCAGCCAGAGTGCTCCTTGGAAGTCAGGATGGCCAGACTTCATCTTTCATACTTTGAACATATTGTCAGGAGGGACCAGCCACTGAAGAAGGATGGAGGGTCAGAGAAAAAGAGGAAGACCCTCAACGAGATGGACTGGCACAGTGGCAGCATCAATGGGCTCAAATGTAGCAGTGATTGTGAGGTTGGCCCAGGACTGGGCGGTGTTTTGTTCTGTTTTGCATAGGGTTACTATGGTGGCACCTAAAAACAATAACAATTAGTCCTGGTGTGGCACTGTAGGATAAGCACTGAACCACAAGGTCAGTTTGAATGGCAAGGTTAGTGATTTAAACTCACCTGCAATTCTTCAGAAACCTTCTACAGGGCAGCTATGAGTCAGAATCGACTTGACAGCACTTAACAACAGCTAGTCTTCATGTTGATTTCATTATAGTCATTTTGATTGTCCAAAACCTATTTTCTAGCAGATGGCTTGGGAAAGTCTTACAGATATTATAGTTCTCAACTTCTTGCATGTTGCTAAATTTTCCTAGCTATAAAATCCTCAACTGTCATTTCATCCCTTTGATTGTCAAGCTATGCTATTCCACTTTGTTCTGGGATAAAGTGTTACTGTTGGTAAGTCTTAAGATCATCTTACCTATATTCTTCATAAGTCATGTGATCTTTTTCCCCAGATGCCCAGAAGATTCTTTTCTCTATTTATTACTTTTTATTGTTGTGAAAATATATTTGAGGGGAATTCAAAAAGTTTGTGGAAAATTCCATTATTTTTTAACTCAATTTTTCCACAAACTTTTTGAAGTCTCTTTGTAAAACACAGTATGTGCCAATTCAACATATTTTGAGTGTATGATTTAGTGATATCAATTAACCATTTAGTGCACCCATCACCTATAAACATAACCAAATTTTCTATCACCATAAGCAAAACTTTTTCTTTAAGGCCTAATATAGCCTTACTAACATATGTCTTGAATCATTTTGAAACAATTTTTAAGTATACAGTATATTCTTTCAAAATACATTAACTTTCAAAAAAATATTTTTTACTTTTATTTCAGGAATAGTTTTATTAGCTTATAATTTTCATTATTGGCTCTGTTTCTATACTTTGCTTTTCTTCTTCAGATACTTTTGATCAGTTACATGCTAAATTTTCTTCATCTAACTTCAATATTGGCACTTTCTCTCAACTCTTTTTAAACCATTTCTTCACGTCTTTTTAAATTTTCAAAATTTCCTTTTACATTTCTATTTCTTAGAGCACTGTTTTTCCTGTTTATTGTCTTTTGAATTAATTCTCACTTAGGCTTCATTTCAAAAACAACTTGTCTTTTTCCAATTGTTTCTTGAGTTCCACCATCCAATTTCTGAGTGTTTTTTTCTAATTACAATTTATGGTGTTCTTTTGCATCTTGTACCACTTATCAATTTCTTTTATATTATTTTGAAATCATAAATTTTAATTTTGTTTTATTTTTGGTATATCTTTCTATTGTACTTTTCATTAGGGATGTTATTCTGTTCTATACCCTCTCCCTTCTTCATATTGAATTTTTCTACCTACCCACTGACAGATGGTAACTGGTTTGGAAACTATCAGAAAGGTAGTTTCCTTACTGAAAAGAAGAATCTCACTAAATATCAGCATCAGATGTGGTCACTCCGTGACCATGATGGAACAGCACAGCAGATACGTTCTTCATGGTCTCTGGGCACAGTGCTTTGTTACAGGGTCTTTGCAAAGGTCATGTTTGTAATGAAGCTTAGAAACTGTTGCTATGCAAATGCTACTTAGTACTAATTCTGTGCCGTGTGTTGGAAACAGATATTCCCCTTTGACTGGTCAGGTTTGACATAGGGAGAAATTCTTTTCCTCTTAGTGGTGAGAGACGTGTTGAATTTGTAAATATTAGGGACTTGAGATCAAGTTGGATTCAAACCCAAGGAAGTAACTCCTATCGTACTTGAAGTGGAAGGTGACCACCTGGGTACCCAAGAGAGATCATCCAATCCATTTTCCTTGTTTTTTAGATGAGAAAGCTGAGTGCCAGAGAGAAGAGACTTGTTCAAAGTCATACAACAATTTACTATCTCATACAGTCCAAGTTTTCAAATGGTATTAAGAGTCTTAGCCATGCATGTATATTAGAGTAAAAATACAGATACTTGTGAATCTGAATTGAGTTATACCTACTCCTGGACTGGTAGGTAACAAAGGGGAAAATGTTTTTCTTTTTTAGCTCAGGTCATTTGGGGTTAGGTTTTTTTTGGAAAACTGAAGAACTGTAACAAATACACAGGTGATTGTAACACACACCACACTAGTTAAGGGCCTCTTGATCTAGTTTCCCTCCTGGAAGACATGCGCTCATACTGAACTCTCCCCTCCATATGAGACTCTTTGTTCCTCAAGGGTCTAGGGTAAGACACCTCACACCGTCTTTTTGTCTTCCCTTCCTGTTTCGTACAACTTCCAACATGAAGTCTTCAAACACACTGTGCTCCACTCTTAGTTAGGACAGTACCAGGTATCAATCCTCCACTCATTAAGGTAACCTCTAGTGGGTGACGAGAAATGAACTCTTTCCTTAACATACCAGATATGTCATTCCTTCCTCCTCCAGGGGGGCCCATGGCGGTCACAAGCAATACATCTGTAATGTCCAGCTTGTTTGTGTCTTTCTTATCAAACCAGTAGCCATGGTCAATCCATTGCCTCAAGAGCTCGATAGGGGGCTGGGCTCCATACACCTCTTTGGCTGGCATGTTGAGGTCATCTACCAAAAGAAGAGAAATACCCATATTATAAATCCGTAATTTATAATATGGTCAAACTTGCTTAGATAGGAAGTAACAAACGACTATTCTGTCCTTGTGGGGAGGCTGGGCCCAGTTGTCCCATCCTACTCCATATAGGACTCAGCAAGTGGACATTCTGACCAGAAGGGAAGGGGTTTTCCTGGGTTCTAGAGGAATCGGGCTGCTGATCTCAAGGTCAGCAGTTCGAAAATACCAGCTGTTCCATGGGAGAAAGATGAGGCTTTCTGCTCCTGCAAAGATTTACAGCCTCAGAAACCTTATACAGGGTCGCTATGAGTTGGAACCGACTTGACGGCACTTAACAACAACAACAAAAGACTCTCTTAGCTCATTGAGATCTCTGCCATTTGTGGCTTTAAGTAGGTACGGATTAGCATCAACAGTCAGGAATTTGTTCTTTTCTCCCATACCCATACCTACGATAGACTGATAACGTACTATGGGCTCCCACCACTGTCTATCACTTGTTCAGACTGTGGTGGCTTGTGGGCTTGTGTGTTGCTGCGATGCTGGAAACTATGCAATTGATATTTTAAGTACCACCAGAGTCACCTACAGTGGACACGTTTCAGTGAACTTCAGACTAAAACAGACTAGGAAGTCTTGTCTAGTCATAGTCTTTGTAAACTATCAAATGACTTTGTTGATGTGTTTGGTAAGAGAAGGCAGGGTAAGATACTGATAAGATTCAGCTGTGATTGTTAACAGGATTCACTGTGATTGTGAAAACTTGGAAATCTAACATGGATATAAAATGAACCATCTCAGAAGCAGAATGAGGTAGATTTCATGAAAGTCAAAGAAGTACCGTGAGTGGAATGTGCCCTTTGGACCCAGAGACTTTTGTGCATTGAACCTCCTTGACCCAGAGAAACTGGAGGAGTAGCAGAGAAGTGGCAAAGGAGCCATAGTAGCAGAACCAGAACCAGATGCAGCCAGAGTGGTGGAGCAAATTAAGCTGAGTGTCTTTGGGCAGGAGACACACTTGTAGAGTAGGATGGTAGCCTCCAGACACTTAATTAGGAGCTAGGTTTGCTGACCAACAGAACTAGAGATGAGCACATTTGGGATGAGGTTATGAAGTGGAGTGACGTGGCCTTTGAACATTTATCAGCAGGACTAAAAGAGCTTTGTGATATTGCTTGAGCATGACAGAGGCCAGACCAAAGGACCAAATGCCAAAGGTCTGCTTGTGAACATGACAGACGAGACGCTTCTCTGACTGGAAGAACTGTGCCCTGAACATTTCTGACCCTGAATTGTTACTGGCTAGCTTCCTAATAAACCCCATAATTGTTAGTATGAAGTCTGAGTTCTATGTGGCCACTGCAATGAATTATTGAACCCAACTGAACAAAGTGTCATAAACAGGATCATCGGCGCCATTTTTGTTAGTAACTGAAACCCTCATGAGTAGGAGCAGAATGCTTTCTGATACAGTGCCAGAAGATGAGCCCCTGAGGTTGAAAGGCATGCAAAATATGACTGTGGAAGAGCTGCATCCTCAAAGTCATTTCAGGAACAGAGGACCCGAGGACCATCACATGGGAAGAGCATGAGAGGAGTGAGGGATTCTGGCCAGAAAAGCAGCAACAACAGAGATGGTGGCGGAGGCGATGGCATAGAGAGACTGAGCAGCAGAGGACTCTGGGCCCATGGACTGAGAAAGGCAGTGTGCCTGCAGGCAGGAGACTGGCTCAAAAAATGTGCCCTTTGCCCATTTAAATGAATATATATTTTCAATGTGGTATGTGTACATAAAAAATAAAAATGGCAATAGAGGTAAACACTGTTACTTGATGGTAGATGGAGGGGACTGTAATCTTTGCAATGATTTGCTGAATGTAAAACTAATAATATACCCTGTAAACCTTTACTCACTCAATTCATAATAAAAGCTTTAAAAAAAAATAAAAATCCTAGCCACTAATGAGCTGAATTGGACAGGTATTGGCTATTTTGAATCAGCCGACCATAAAGTTTACTGTGCCAGGAATGAAAAATTGAAGAGGAATGATGTTGTACTCATTGTTAAAAGAGCATTCCATGCTTTATTTTCAAGTACAATGCTATCTACAATAGGATATCTATAGGCCTGCAAGAGTATGACTATTATTCAAATTTATGCACCAACCAATAAAGTCAATGATGAAGAAATTGAAGAATTCTACCAACTTTTCAGTCTGACCACTGCTCCACTCTCTGTCAGTTTGTTACACTGGGTGGCATGTGTGTTGCCGTGACACTGGAAGCTACGTTAACAGTTTTTTTAATAGCAGCTGGGTCCCCCACGGTGGACAGGTTTCAGCAGAGACTCTGGACTAAAACAGACTAGGAAGAAGGAGAGTCAGATCACTTTTAAATGGTTAGTCACTAAAAACCTTATGACTAGCAATGGGAACATTGTCAGATATGCTGCCAGAAGACGAGTCTCTCCCCACCCCAAGCCACCCCGCAGGTTGGAAGACACTCAAAGTACAACTGGGAAGGAGCTGACTCCCAAAGGAAAGTCGACTTTAATGAAGTGGATGGAGGTAAGCTGTTGGGACATTCGTTTGCTGATATGGAAAAATTAAAAATGAGAATAAACAGCTACAAACATCCTTTAGTAATTGGAGCACAGAATACACTATCAATCTAAGAAAATGAGAAGTTGTCAAAAATGAAATGGAATACAAAAATATCAATATCCTGGGCATCAGTGAGCTGAAATGGAGTGGTAGTCATCAGTTTGAGCCACACAATCATATGGTTTACTATGCTGGGAATGACAAATTGAAATAGAACGGTGTCATAGTCATCATCAAAAAGAACATTTCCCCCTAGGATCATTCAAGAGGGAAGAGCATGAGATCCTAACCAGAAAAGCAGGGACAGCAGAGAAGGTGGTAGAGGCGATGGCACAGAGGCATAGAGTAGCTGAGGACTCTAGGTTCGTGGGATGAGAAAGGCTGTGTGCCTATGGGTAGGAGGCTGGCTTGAAAACAAATGTGTCCTTTGGACATTTAAATGAATGTGTATTTTCTGTTTTGTATGCGTACATCAAAAAAGGAAATAGAGGTAAATACTGCTGACTGATGATACATGAAGGGGATTGAAATCATTATAGTGAAATGAAGTATGATTTGTTGAATGTAAAACTGATAATCTGCCCTATAAAACTTCACTCAATTCACAATAAAAATTAATTAATTTAATTAACTAATTATATATAAAAAAGAACATGCTGCCTGTGATAGGATAATACCCATACACCTACAAAGAATATCAGTTAATACCACTAATATTCACATTTACACACCAACTGCTACTGGAACTAGTGAAGATGAAACTGAAGAATTTTATCAACTTTATCAACCATGCAATCAAGATGCATTGATAATTACTGGTGATTGGAATGCAATAGTTGGAAACAAAGAGGATGGATCAGTAGTTGGAAAAGATGGTCTTGGTGATAAAAATGGTGTTAGACATTACATGATAGAATTTTGTAAGATGAATGACTTATTCATTGCAAATACATGTTTTAAACAACATAAAAGATGACTATACATATGGACTTTGCCAGATGGAATGCAAGGAATCAAACTGACTACATACATCTGTGGGAAGAGACAGTGGAAAAGCTTCATATCATCAACCAAAGCCAAGCCAGGGGCAGACTGTGGAGCAGACCATTAATTGCTCATATGCAAGTTCAGGCTGAAGCTGAAAAAAATTAAAACAAATCCGTGAGGGTTAAAACTTGACCTTGAAAATGCCCATTTGAATTTAGAGAGCATCTCATGAACAGATTTAATGCATTAGATACTAATGATTGTAGACCCAAAGAGCTGTGGGATGACATCAAGAGCATCATCCACAAAGAAAATCAAAAGTCATTAAGAAGACAGGGGTGAAAAAAAGACCAAGTGGATGTCAGAAAAGACTCTGAAACTTGCTCTTGAGCATAGAGAGCTAAAGTGATTAGAATAAATGAGGAAGAAAAAGACCGTAATAAACTATTTCAAAGGTTAGTTCTAGAAGACAAAGTCAAATATCCTAATGAAATGTACAAAGACCTGGAGTTAGAAAACCAAAAGGGAAGAACACATTCAGCATTTCTCAAGCTGAAAGAACTGAAGAAAAAATTCAAGCCTCAACTTGCAATATTGAAGGATTCTGTGGGCAGAATTTTTAATGATGCTGGAAATATGAAAAGAAAATGGAAGGAATACAAAGTCATAGCAGCACAAAGAATTAGTTAAAGTGCACTCTTTTCAAGAGATGAATATGATCAAGAACTGATGGCCTTGAAGGAAGAAGTCCAAGGTGCACTGATGGCACTGTTGAAAAACAAGGCCTCATATGCAGTGAAAGTTGGGACAAAGAATAAGGAAGGCCATAGAAGAATCGATGCATTTGAATTATGGTGTTGGGGAATAATGTTGAAAGTACCATGGACTACCAGAAGAACAAACAAATCTGTGTTGGAAGTACAGCCTAAATGCTCCTTGATGTGTAGATGGAGAGACTCTGTCTCTCGTAATTTGGACATATTATCAGGAAGGACCAGTCCCTGGAGAAGGACATCATGCTTCTAAAAGCAGAAGGTCAGTGAAAAAGAGGACGATTCCCAACAAGATGGACTGACATAGTGACAACAACAATGGACTCAAACATAACACCTGTGAGGATGGTACAAGATCAAGCAGTGTTTCATTCTGTTGTGCTTAGGGTCTGTATGAGTTAGAACCAACTTGAGGGCACCTAATAACAACAACTTCAGCCTGAATTTGACCAAACATGCAATCAAGATGCATTGATAATTACTGGTGATTGGAACGTGACAGATGGAAACAAAGTGGAAGGATTGGTGGTTGGGAAATAAGGCCTTGGTGATAGAAATGATGGTGGAGATTGCATGATAGAACTTTGCAAGACTAAGAAATTATTCATTGAGAATACCTTTTTTCAACAACATAAATGGACCTTGCAGACAGAACAGGAAAAGAATCAACTACATCTGATGGAGAAATTCAATATCATCAGCCAAAACAAGACCAACAGTTGACATGGAACAGACCATCAACTGCTCATATGTAAATTCAGGTTGAAGCTGAAGAAAGTTAAAATAAGTCCACGAGAGCCACATTACGACCTTGAGTATATCTCACCTAAATTTAGAGAATATTTCAAGAAGAGACTTGATGCATTAGACACTTACGATTGAAGACCAGAAGAGCTGTGGGATGACATCAAGGTTATCATACATGAAGAAAGGAAAAGTCATAAAAAAGAGAGGGCAGAAAGAAAAGACCAAAATGGATGTCAGAAGAGACTTTTGACACCTGCTCTTGAATGTACAGAAACTAAAGAGCCGGGAAGAAATGAGGAAACAAAAGAACTGAACAGAAAATTTCAAAGGGCAGCTCGAAAAGACAAAGTATTATTATGAAACAAAGGCATGAAGTTAGAAATTAAAAAGGGAATAAGCTCAGCAATTTTCAAGAAGAAAGCAGTGAAGAAATAATTCAAGCCTCAGGCTGTAACATTCAAGGGCTCTATGGATAAAATATTGAATGATGCAGGAAGCATCAAAAGAAGATGGAAGAGTCACTGTACCAAGAAGTATTAGTTCATGTTCAACCATTTTATGAGATACCATATGGTACTGAAGATGTCCAAGTGGCACTAAAGAAATTGGCAAAAAACAAGGCTCAAAGAATTAGCCGAAGATAAAGTGAAATCTTCCAACAAATGGATGCAGCACTGGAGGCACTCATTCATCTATGTCAAGAAATTTGGAAGACAGTTACCTGGCCAACCGATTGGAAGAGATCCATGTTTGTGCTCATTCCAAAGAAAGGTAGCCCAAATGGAATGTGGAAGTCATCAAAATTATTACTAAAATCATAAGCAAGTAAAAATATTTATAAGATAAATCAAAAACAGTTGCAGCAATATATTGACAGGGAGCATCCAGAAATTCAAGCTGGATTCAGAAGAGGATGTGGAATGAGGGATATTATTGCTGGTGTTAGATTGATCTGGAGGAAAAGAGAGAATACCAGAAAGATGTTTACTTGTGCTTTATTGACTATGCAAAGACACTCAATTCTGGGGATGATAACAAACTATGGACAACATCGCAAAGAATGGGTATTCCAGACACTAACCTGTGCGCATGAGGAAGCTATACACATACTAAGAAGCAATTGTTTGAACAGAACAAAGGGATACTGAATGGCTTAAAATCAGGAAAGGTGTGTCAGAGTTGTATCCTTTCACAATACTTACTCAATCTGTATGTTGAGCAAAAGATCTTAGAAGCTGGATTACATTAGAAACAAGGCATCAGGATCAGAGAAAAACTCATTAACAACCTGCGATATGCACAAGACACAACCTTCTTTGCTGGAAGCAAAGAGGACGTGAAGACTTACCAATGAAAATGAAAGACCACAGCCTTCAGTATGACTTGCACTTCAATGTAAAGAAAACAAAAATTTTCACATCTGCACCAATAAACGAAAAACAGATTGAAGATGTCAAAGACTTCATTTTGCTTGGATCCACAATTTGCCATTCATGGAAGCAGCAGTCAAGAAATCAAACAACGTATAAAATTGTCTGCAAAAGACCTCTTTAATGTGTTAAAGAGCAAAGATGTCATTTTGAGGACTAAGTGCACTTGACCCAATCCATCGTATTTTCAATTGGCTCATACGCAAGCAAAAGTTAGGAAATGAATGAGGAAGATCAGGGGAGAATCAGTGTATCTGAATTATGGTGTTGGCAAAGAATACTGAATATACCATGGACCATCAGAAGAATGAACGCTCTGTTTTAGAAGATGTCAGTGCAGATTGTTCCTTGGAAGCAATGACAGTGAGATTTAGTGTCTCATCCATTAGACCTGTTGTCAGGCAGCTCCAATCTTTAGAGAAGGACATTAAGCCTGATAAAGTAGAGGGTCAATGAAATAAGGATGAACTGATGAAATGACAACAACAATGGGCTCAGACAACAATTGTGAGGGTGGCACAGGGTTGGGCAACGGTTCATTCTGTTGTAAATAGGGTTGCTATGAGTCAGAATTCAGTGGAGAACATCCAATAACAATACAACAGCAAATATAGGCTAGGGTTTGTCAATTGCTAGGGCCATGGATGTGAGGAAGGCAGTCACAGTCCAGCCAACAGGGTGTTTGGTTTGATAAGCAGGTCACCACTGAGCCCTACTGGGAGCAAAGTTTTGGAGCTAGGATTTTTGTGAAATGACAAGCAAACAACAAAACTAGACTGTGGCTTCCTCAGTGGTGATAGTCATGATTTCCCTAATAGTATCCCCTCAATAAAATGGAGGCTCTTTTAATTTTTCTTCAGTAAACATTGATTCAGTGTCCAGGTTGTGTCGGGCATCATTTTGGGAGCTTTACACAAGTTATTTCATCTAATCGGAGCAACGTATACAAGAAGTCTCACCAACATATTTGTTAGAGGTGAGAAACTGAGGCTCTGCATAAAATACCTAGGGTGAAGAGAGGAGATTTTGAACTAAGATCTGTTTAGTTGTGTAACTTAAAAGTTATTGGGTGAACAAGAAAAGGAGGGAGGGAAGGATGCAGGAATGAGAACTGAGGGAGTAAACCATGAGAATGTCTAGAGGAAGAGAGTTCAAGCAGACCTTGAGGTGGGGTTGAGGAACAGCCAGGAGGCCATATAGCATGGCGTACCTTGAGTGACAGGAAAATGGCAGGAGATGGAATGGAAGACATAACCATGGGCCAAATCCAAATTATATTAACAGGAATATTGTATCTCTGAGAGAGAATGAAAGGATTATCCAACGGCTTACTTCAGCTTGTGGTGAATATAGCCTGAGAGTTTCCAGGCCTAGGCCTTACCTACAAACACCACGACTTTCTTCCCTATAGGAGGCCCAAAAAGCCCTTTCCGCCGCCGATCCAACTTGGACATGATGATATCCTGGGTCTGGTTGGCTGAAGTTCTGGCAGAGAAATTGATGCAGTTGGGCAGGTAGAGGCTTTTGGGAAGGTGGAGAAGGAAATTGTTGGTGATTGCTGATTTTCCAGTGCCTGTGGGACCCACGAACAGCATCGGAATCTCATGATCCAAGTAGGTTTTCAAGAAGAAAGTCTGCCGGGCTGTCTCCATCGTGGGGATGATGAGTTCTGAGACCTGTATATCAAACACATGGGCCAAGAAGAGTGGGTCATGGCATGCAAGTGCTCAATTCCAGCTCCATCCCTTGTGCTCTTTATGACTTTGGATATTTAACTTTTTCAGGGGCCTCAATTTCTTTGTGAAATGGGAATAATTCTTAATGAAACCACACATGTATATTGGGCACGATGGTCCCGATTTTATAGAAGAAACTAAGTTCCAAAGACCTTCTGCATCTTATCCAAGTAACACAGCAAGTGAGTGAAAATGCAGGGTGCAAAGACAAACTGACATTAATTCCTCTACTTTGGAGAATCTGCAGATAATTCTGGAAACCCAAATCCCACGGCCATGTCTTTCTTTTACCTTTGCATTAGCTGGAATAGCTTCCTCCTCTTTAGTGATATATTCTGTCCATACATTCCAATGCCCACCACCTTGCTTCAGAAAGTAGAAGTCATAGATGCTTCCTAGGCCACAAAGAAACAAAACATGTAAGCACATGAAGGTTTTACATGTCGTATTTAACATATGTAACTGCCAGCACTATTTTTAAAAAATAACAGCCTAAACCAACTGCTATCAAGTCACTTTGGATCCACTGTGACCCTTTATAGGGTTTCTGAGACTGTAAATCTTTATAAGAGTAGACGGTCTCATCTTTCTTCCAAAGAGCAGCTGGTGGGTTTGAACCAACCACCTTCCAGTTATTAGTCCAACACTTGTTGTTGTTGTTGTTGTTATGTGCCACCGAGTCGGTTCCGACCCATAACGACCCTGTATAGGGTTTCCTAGGGTGTAAATCTTTATGGGAGTAGAAAGCCTCATCTTTCTCCCACGGTGCAGCTGGTAGTTTCGAACCGCTGACCTTGAGGTTCGCAGCCCGATTCGTAACCACTATGCTACCAGAGCTCCTTAGTCCAACACTTAGCCCTCAGCATTACCAGGGCGCCTTGCCAAAGCTAAGTTGCTGTTAAGTGATGTCAAGTCAATTCTGACTCATCGTTGTTGTTAACTGCTGTCGAGTTGGCTCTGACCCATAGCGACCCTGAATAGGGTTTCCGAGGAGCAGCTGGTGAACTTGAACCACCAACCTTACAGTTCAAACGGCTTTGCAGTCTGGCGCAGGTTACCAAGGAGTGGCTGGTAGGTTTGAACCACCAACCTTGTGGTTAGGAGCCCAGTGCTGATCCTACAGTGATACACCAGGACTCCACTGCAAGAGATATGTTGTTGTTAAGTGCCATTGAGTTAGTTCTGACTTATAGTGTATAAGGGTTTCCGAGGAGTAGCTGGTGAGCTTGAACTGCTGACCTTGCGGTTCAAATCAGTCTTGTAGTCTAGTGCATTAGACCACAGTGCCATATGCATCTAAAAACATATAACCAATACTGGAATGTTGTTAAGTGCCGACAAGTCAGTTCTGATTCATAGCTACCCGGTATAGGGTTTCCAAGGAACAATTAGTGAGCTTGAATCATTGACCTTGTGACTCAAACAGACCTTGCAGTCCAGCACATTAACCCACAGCTTCACATCAGGGCCCCATTATAGTTGTGGTAAAACTTGTACATTGTTGGAAACTAAGTAAATGGGAACAACACTTAAAAAAGAGGAATATATTTTTTTGTATAAACATAATAGATGCTATTTATATAAATTATTGAGTACTGGTGTGGGGCTGTAGGACAAACACTGGACTGCTAACTGCAAGTTTGGCAGTTCAAACTCACCAAGCATTCCCTGGGAACCCTGTGCAGGGTTGCTATGGGTCAGAACCGATGCAATAAGACTCCAACAACTATATAAGTTAAATTATGTTTAATAATGTAAACAGCAAGGCAGAAAAGAACAAAAAGAAAAGACAAGAAACACTCCAGATCCCATTTCCAGAAATAACTTTTTAAAAAATAGTGGTTTGAGTGAAAGAGCAAATTAGATTTCCATTCAAAAATGTATGCACATTTAATTTTTCTACATTAGTTGCAATTCTCTTGATGTAACAGCAATCTTTCCATTTCCCCCCTGGGTTCTCCTGGGCGAGCAACTTGCTTGTTCTCGTAATAATCAGTCAGACTGCCATTATTGTTTTGTATTTTTCCTGTGTGATGTGAGGTTGTTGTTGTCACGTGCCGTGGAGTCAGTTCCAACTCATAGTGACCCTGCACAGGGTTTCCGAGGCTGTAAATCTTTACGGGAGCAGAAAGCCTCACCTTTCTCCCACGGAACAGCTGGTAGTTTAGAACTGCTGACCCTGAAGTTAGTAGCCCGATTTGTAACCACTACGCTACCAGAGCTCCTTGTGATGTGAGGTATGGGGTCTAAATTTATTTCTGTGAATATAGGTATTCAATTAACCCAGAACCATTTGTTTAAAATAATATTCTTTTCCCATTTAATTATCTTGGCACCCTTGTCCAAATCAATTCACCATAGATGTATGGGCTTTTTGCGGAATTTTTCATTCTATTCATGTCTATCTGTCTATCCTATTTTAATACCACACTGTTTAATTTGTATTAAAATCAATTCCTAGAATGGAGAATTTTCCATTCTATACCTATTTTTTGTTCCTTGTATCCTATTTTCTTGTTTTGGTATTCCACTGTCACCAGTTGCTGTATACTTAGTTTCACTGACTAATTTTTTAGGAGTAGACAGCCTGGCCTTCTTTCTGAGAGACCTGACCTTTTGGTTTGCAGTTGAGCACATTAACTGTTATCTCCCCACATGCTTCCCAGCATTATTTGGGACCAATTTATCTCTTCGACCTTCTTGACCACAATCAAGGACTAGTGTGTGGGTTTCTTTTCTTTACCCTACAAAGATCTGTACTCTCTCTGAAATTTGCCCACTATCCTGATCCATGGTCTATCCAAATCCCAATTCCACCTTAGCTAACAATGTGCTTCACTCCTGCAAGATTTAGCTCATGACTCCAACCCTGCATGGCACTGTGAAGATCCAAACCCTCATAGTTTCTGCTGCCACAGCTATGGTACTGCCGAGCATACGCTGGTGTTTCTGTTAGATATTTCTCACAGCTGTCCACTTAGTGTCGTAGTCCATTTTTCTCCAGTTGGTGATTACCACTGAGAACCCTCCTCTTTCTTCTCAGTACCACTCTTAGGAGGACGGTGGTGGGTGGTAGGTGATGGGTTGAAGATGCATCCACCACCTACCACTGAGTGATGCTGACATCTTTTCTTTCCCTTCCTGTCCATCATTTGTCAATATTTATAACATTAGGTTGTAACTCATTCTTTGGCTATTGCTGGAGACATGTTTAGTCTTTTAAAATATTTTTCTTTGTTGTTCATTTTATCAGATACTAGAGAAGAGAGCTTCTGTATTTCCACATCACTCTGCAGCTTTACCTAGAAGGCAATCTGTGCAACACATTTAAAAAGGAATCTGGCAGTGTGCTTACAAAGCGATAAAAACGTTCTCGTCTCTAACTCAGAAATCCCATTTCTGGGAATTTAGCATAAGGAAATAATTCACAATGAAAGAAAATTCTGTATACATGACTATGTAGCACCATCTGTGATATCAAATTCCAAATTCCACATTAGAAGGCCAGTCAAACTCATGCCTTTTAAGATGGATGGACTATTTAGCAGTCATTAAAATGATAGCTACAAAAAGTTTCAACATAGAAAATGCTTTTAAGAAGCAATGACAGAGAAAAACAACAGAACGGAAAAGGAACAGATACCATTATGGCTACTACGTAAAGAGATGAAAGCAGGTGCGTAAGTCAAATAAGAGATTTTTTTTGGGAAAACTAAGACACTTGAGATATGATATTGAGGGAAATATTTTGGATCATTTTTATTTAATATCATTGAACTGTTCCAACCATAGAAAAGGAAACTAAAAGTAGTATTTATTTTTTTATTGCTGTTAGGTATTGTTGAATCAGTTGTGACTCACAGTGATACTATGTACACAAGAACAAAACACTTCCAATTTCTGTGCCGTCCTCACAATCATTGTTATGTTGGAACCCATTGTTGCAGCCACTGTGTCAATCCATCCTGTTGAGGGGTTTCCTATTTGTTGTTTTTTTTGTTGTTGTTGTTAACCCTTTACTGTACCAAGCATGAATTCTTTCTCCTGGTCCTTCCTGATGACATTTCAAAGTACCTATGATGAAGTCCTGACATCATGGCTCCTAAGGGGCATTCTGACAGTACTTCTTCCAAGACAGAAGATTGTTCTTCTGGCAATCCGTAGTATAGTCAATATTCTTTGCCAACACCGTCATTCAAAGGCATCAGTTATTTTCCAATCTTCCTTATTCACTGTCCATTTTTTGCACACATATGAGGCCACTGAAAATGCCATGGGTTGGGTCAGGCCCACGTTATTCTTTAAAGAGACATCTATGCTCTTGAACACTTTAAAGAGGTCTTGTGCAGCAGATGTGCCCAATGCAATATACCATTTGATTTCTTGATTGCTGCTTCCATAGGCATAGATGTGGATCCAAGTAAAATGAAATCCTTGACAACTTCAAACTTTTGTTTATCGTGATGTTGCTTATGGGTCTGGTGGTGAGGATTTTGGTTTTAGGTTGAGGTGTAATCCACATTGAAGGCTGCAATGCTTCATCAGAAAGTGCTTCAAGGCCTATTTGCTTTCAGCAAGCAAGGTTGTGTCATCTGCATATTACAGGTTGTTAATCTTCTCCCAATCCTGATGCCACATTCTTTTTCATGTAGTTAAATTACTCAGATTATTTGCTCAACATACAGATTGATAATTGTGGTGAAAGGATACAACCCTCACACACACACATTTCCTGATTTTACATCATGTAGTATCCCTTGTTCTGTTTGAATGACTGCCTCTTGGTCTATGAATAGGTTCCACAAGAGCACAATCAAGTGTTCTGGAATTCCCATTCTTCCTAACATTATCCATAATTTGTTACGATCCACACAGTCAAATGCCTTTTCACAGTCAATGAAACACAGGTAAACAGCTTTCTGGTATTCTCCTTTCAGCCAAGATCCATCTGACATCATCAGTGATGTTCCTCATTTCACGTCCTCATCTGAATCTGGCTTGAATTTTTAGCAGTTCTCTGTTGATGGCTGATATACTGCTGGAACTGTTTTAGAGTTATATTCAGCAAAAGTTAACTTGAGTGATATATTAATGATGTCATTAAATAATTTCTGTATTCTGTTCGGTCACCTTTTTTTTGGAATGGGCAAATATTTCAATTGGTATTCTGTCAGTTCCTGGAGCCTGGATTTTCACCACATTCCTTCAGTGCAGCCTGGACTTCTTCCTTCAGTACTATTAGTTTTGACAGTTCCTTCTAAAATGGCTGAACATCAACCAGCTCTTAAAAGTTAAACTAGGAAGATATTTATCTCCCCCTTCCCTTACTGATGCTGAGCTAACGCTAATTTATGACTTGATATGGAACATTTAGGACAAAGAGAAAAGGTCTGATTGAATAAAAGTAGATTTATCATCTATGTGACATCAGACAAGGTGATGGTTTGCACATCTGTAAAATGGGGTTGATTTTACTTCCAGCTAACAGAATTGCCACAGACGGTATGTGGGATACATCAGTCAAGCTTTCAGCCCAGCTATGGGCACACAGGAAGGTGCTTAGTAACACTGAGCTTTGTCTGTCCTGGGTTCTCATCAGAGTAATGGTTCCCCCTTTCATTTTGGTTGTGGTTGTCACTCAAACTCTGGTCACTGCAAGAGAGGGATGGGAAGAACAGCAGAATCCAGGAAGACGGATGACTTCTGTTACCTCCCCTGCACCAGTTCTAGTTTCCTGTCACACTGAGAGCACAAGGCAAAGTTTCCAACAGACAGGTGAGCGAGTGACTTTACACAGGTGAGCGAGTGACTTTACACAGGTGAGCGAGTGACTTTACACAGGTGAGCGAGTGACTTTACACAGGTGAGCGAGTGACTTTAGACAGGTGAGCGAGTGACTTTAGACAGGTGAGCGAGTGACTTTACACAGGTAAGCGAATGACTTTAGACAGGTGAGCGAGTGACTTTTCAAAGAGCACACAGTGAATGAGTTAAGAGATAGAAATTTCGTACTTTCTGGGGAAGTGAATTCCTGGGTTAGAAAACAAGGATTCGTGTCAGGTGATGTAAGCCTAACCCTGAAAGGATCTTCCCAAAGTCTGCTGTTTTCCTTAATGTACATTCCCCAACTTGGGTTCCTCCGGCATTTATTTCAGAAACCAACTTCGCCAGGGCTCCTAGAGCATGGAAAACCCACAGACAACTAGGGAAGGTCTCTTTAGAGCTCTCAACATGAGAGTCTCCACTTGGGGCTCTTGTAAAAAGGTTAGCAAGGCATGTTCAATTTTTTTAAGATGTATGTAAGAAAATACACACAAAGCCAGACACAGCCACATACTTACTATGTCATTCCATGTCTATGAAATGTCCATGAAAGGCAAATATAGAGAGATAGAAATTAGATTTGTGGCTACCTGGGGCTGAGGATGGAAACAGTGATTAATAAAAGTGAAAATGAGGAATCTTATTGGGGTGATGAAAATGCTCAAAAACAGGATTATAGGATGGTGCATAGGTAGGTAAATTTACTAAAATCCACTGATTTAAACACTTGAGTGAATTTTATGTTCTGTAAATTATACCTAAAAAATGTTGTTTTAAAAAAAATAAAGGACAGTCTATTCAACACTTGAAACTATGCTTTACTTCAAATGGGCTTTCCATGGAAGCTTGCCAATTTCTCATTGAAGTATATAGGAAAGCCCGGGAAAAGAGGAGGAATGATGACACTGGAAATAAAGACAGTAACAAATCTGGACAGAATTTCCTTTAGCTTTACTGTGGACAAAGCTGTGTTGAGAAACATTGCCTCAAAAGTCTGCATGAAGCGAAAACAGGAAAGTCTACCTTTCACCTTCCCAATGACCGCCCCAGGATGCCAAGACACAGGTTAGGTGGCTGTCCCAAGATGCCAAGACACAAGTTAAGCCCTACACAGAAAACTGGGCAGCTCTGCCCTTCCACAGACCGATCTGGGAGGACTGTTCTTTTCTTCTCTCCCTCTCCTGGCTAGGCTATCTTTTGGTAGTTGAAAGGAGTATCAGGGTGTCAAGCCACAATGAATGAAGATGAGACAGTTGGGGTGCTTTGAATTCAGTGAGTTTTTTGTGTCCCTCATCCCAAAATTCAGAGTTACAGAATTTCCTCTTTAACTTCCCTTATTTTGAATGTTCACACCAATCAAGCAAACAGAAAGGCTGCCTCCAACAGTGTGGTCAGTGAATTTTGGCCATCCCATTGCTCCTTACTCTAGAGCAGTATTTCCTGCATTTGGGTTCATTTTTATCTTCAAGCTCACTGATTCTGGCTTCCATCTCCCTTCACCTCTACTCTTTTGCCCTTTCATTGTATTGCCCATTTCTGATAGTTTAGTTTAGCATTGATTGTCTGGACCTCTTTTTGCAGGTTTTGTATTGTGTTCAATGTTGTATCTATCTTGTTTGATTGTTCCTTTAGTGCTTTTCTGACTTCTTCCTTATTTTCCTCAGCTTTTCTGTGGAACACTTGGATGCATCTCAATATCATTCTCCTAAATTCCCTTTTAGACTAAATTCCAAAGCCTCTTCACCCTCCCCTGCCATTGAGTCAATTCTGACTCACAGTGACCTTATAAAACAGACAAGAACTGCTTCATAGGGTTTCTGTAAATCTTTAAGGAAGCCGACTGCTAGATCTTTTTCCCACGGTGGATTCGAACCATCAACCTTTTGGTTGGCAGCTGAGTACTTAACCACTGTACTATCAGGCCTCACTAAATACTTCAGCATGTGTATAATGAACTAAGGTCTGAGATTTTTTTCTTCTTGATATAAAATTTACATACAATGAAATTCACAAAGGTTAAGTACACAGTATTCACTGCTGTTGACAAAATCTCTAATCCGTGTACCTGACGTCCCTCTCGATACATGCGTTACTATTACCCCAAGAAATTTCCTCATGATCTTCCATGCTTTTTATAATCACAAAATTAAGACTAGTATATAGTATTCTATTGTAAGTGTGTATATTTTAATAGTAACGTCAACTTTCATTGGAAAATCTGCACGGAAAAAAAAAACTGGAAAAAACATACAGTGATTAGCTCTGAACATTAGCGTTGCCATTGGTCTTTAGTTTCCTCTCTTCCCTTGTCTGTGTTTTCTCATGTTTACATAATGCGGAAATGTTACTTGGGTGGAAAGAAAAAACCATGTAAGCTACTTACAAGAAACATCAATCAAAATGTTAGTAAATGGCATCGCACTTTGAGAGTGGGTACCGCCAGTAAGGTGATCATTTTGAAGATGATGTATGTAGCAGAGTGCGAAATACTTCCATATGAGAGTAGATTACAATATTAAAATGAAGAGAAATATTCATAACCTGATCACTATGGTATAAAACATGTCAGTACACAGAACAGGACCAGGAAAGTATACAAAAGCAAAAGTAGCTCTATTTTCTGTTTGGATGAAGGGTTTACATAAAAAAAAAAAAAAAAGTTATAAAAAAATACACAACATAGTAACTGTCTTTCAATATTGATTCCATTGATCAATTCCATTGATCACCAATATATACTGTCACAGTTTTATAGATAATTTAAAAAATAAAAATGTTACATCACATTTTCATAAATAAAAACAGCAGTTGAAATATCCTATGAGACCCTGACTTCAGAGCCACCCATCTCTTACCCACACAGACCAGCTCTAAAGATACGAACCCACCAGATAAGATGCAGAGTTCTCCCTTGGTCTCTGCAAATGCTGATGTACATGGTCCACAACTTTCGGGCAAATTTGAAAAACAGCATCCTAACTTTTGTAGTATAGGACATAACAAACAGGTACTAAACATTACCTCTTTCAGGGAAGATGTTGTTTTTGGTGAGCTTGACGCTTTTGGGCCTCGGGTGGTTGTCATCCATACCCATGATCAAGTTGCGAAAAAACACATCAAATTTCTTTCTGCTGTCCGCATTGATGGTCCCAGCCACGGTCCACACCAAAGCAAAGAGGAACAGGCCTTGCAGCCAGAGGAAGATCTGTTGGCTTGTCAGGCCTTCAAATACTTCACTTTCCTCCTCTTCCTCTTTCCTGAGTTCATCTAAAAGAGGGAAAAGAAAGCTTAGAGGCAGGTACAGAGTGATGTCTCAGATGTAAAGGATGAGAACTGGCTCAGAGGCCATGCTGCCAGATCTTTTATGTGTTGATATTGTTAAGTGCTGTCAAGTCAGCTCCAACCCATAGCAACCCTGTATCTGCTTTCCAAGGGGCAGCTGGTGAGCTTGAACTGCCAACCTTGAGGTTCAAACTGACTTTGCAGTCCAGTGCAATAACCCACAGCACCACACTAGGACACCTTGATCTGTATGGTTGTCCTCATTTTACAGATGAAGCCATTAATGCTCAAAGAGGCCATGGGTCACATAGCCAGGTTGTAGTGATTTGAATTCAAACCTGACTCTTTCCAGTTCCCAGACTCTTAACCACTGAGGCAGTGCTTTTCAATCTTCAGTGTGTGTGCGAATCACCAGTGATCTGGTAAAAACACATATTCTGGTTCTGTGGGTCTAGAGTTTGGCCTCTACCTTTCTAATGAGCTCCCAGGTGATGCTGATGCTGCTGGTCCTTACTACGTTGAGTAGCAAGGCACTGCAGTAGACTTTCAGAGGAAGGGACAAACCTAAGAAAAAAACTGGGCACCAGGTCAAAGTGGTTTCCTGAATGTTCCCCCCTCCCTTTTAACATTCCTTCTCCTCCTCAGATATTTTCCTTTACCCATACTGTCCATGCTTTACCCAGGAGTCTTTGCTGCATGTTGTCACTGGGCTCCTCCGGCTTTAGTCAGTTCCTAGAACTGTCTTGTTGCTTCTCCTTCCAGTAACACTTAGGAATAGTTGTGATCCTCTCCAGGAAAAATAAGCACCAATGGCTCCTAGATCCTGATTTCTAAATAGCCCTCTTCAACGTTAAGAACCAGGGCTGCTCCTTAGAGAAACTAGTGGATTACAGACAGCAATAAACCAAGAAAAATACAGGATGAGTGTAGAATATCTGCGGTGTCAGAGAAAAAAGAAGTCTTGAGAAAGGATGGGGGCATGTTGCAAGGACAAAGGAGCCAACCTGAAGGAACTCCCAATCCTGAGTTACTCGAACCACAAAATAATGATAAATTTGGATTATAAACCACTGAACAAAATAAATATCCATGAGTCCATTTTTTCATCAGTAAATAATTGAGTAAGTGTTGTTGTTGTTTGGTACCTTCCAGTCAGTTCTGACTCATAGCAACCTTATGCACAACAGAAAGAAACCGTATGCTGGGTCCGGCACCAACCTCACCATTTTTGCTACGTTTGAGCCCATTGCTGCTGCCACTGTGCCAAGCCACCTCTTTGGGGGGCGGGGTCTTCCTCTTTTTTGCTGACCCTCCACTTTGCCAAGCATGTTGCGCTTCTCTAGGGACTGGACCCTCCTGATAATATGTTGGAAGTATGAAACACAAAGTCTCGCCATTCTGGCTTCTAAGGAGCATTCTGGCTGTACTTCTTCCAACACATATTGGTTTGTTCTTCTGGCAGCCCATGGTATGTTAAAAATTTTTTTTCAACATCATAATTCAAATGCATGAATTCTTCTACAGTCTTCCGTATTCATTGTTCAACTTTCACATGCATATGAGGCTATTGAAAATACCCTGGCTTGGTCAGGTATAGCTCAGTCCTAAAACTGACATTTTTGCTCTTGACCACTTTAAAGGGTCTTGTGCAGAAGATTTGCCTAATACAATAATATATCATTTGATTTCTTGACTGCTGCTTCCAGGAGCGTTGATAGTGGATCCAAGCAAAATGAAGTTTTTGACAACTGCAATCTTTTCTCCAATTGTTGTTGTTGTTGTTGTCAGGTGCCATCGAGTCGGAACCAACTCATAGCGACCCCATGCACAGCAGAATGAAACAATGTTCAATCCTGGGCCAACCTCACTACCGCTGCCACCCTTGAGTCCATCAATGATGCCACCTGGCTGATCCATCTCGTTGGGGGTCTTCCTCTTTTTCTCTGACCCTCCACCCTACCCAGCATGACATCCTTCTCCAACGGTTGTTTCCTCCGGACAATATGTCCAAAGTGGGAGAGACGAAGCTTAGCCATCCTGGCCTCCAAGGAGCACTCTGGTTGCACTTCTTCCAAAACAGATCTATCGGTTCTTTTGGCAGTCCATGGCACCCTCAGTATTCTCCTCCAACACCACAACTCAAAGGCATCAATTCTTCTACGATCCTCCTTATTCACTGTCCAGCTTTCGCATCCATGAGGCTATTGAAAACACAATGGCCTGGGTCAGGCGCACCCTAGTCCTCAAGCTGACATCTCTGCTCTTCAATACTTTAAAAAGTTCCTGTGCAGCAGATTTGCCCAGTGCAATACGTCGTCTGATCTCTTGACTGCTACTTCCGCGATTGTTGATAGTTGATCCAAGAAGAATGAAGTCCTTGACAACTTCAATCTTTTCTCCATTGATAAGAATGTTGTTTATTGGTCCAGTGGTGAGGATTTTTGTTTTCTTGACATTGAGATGTAATCCATATCGAAGGCTGTGCTCTTTAATCTTCATAAGTAGATGTTTCAAGTCCTCTTCACTTTCAGTGATCAAGGTTGTATCATCTGCATATCGCAGGTTGTTAATGAGTCTTCCTCCAATCCCGATGCCACATTTTTCTTCATAGAACCCAGCTTCTCGTATTATTTGCTCAGCATACAGGTTGAATAAGTATGGTGAAAGAATACAACCCTGTCTCACACCTTTCCCAATTTTAAAACATTCAGTGTTTCTCCAATTATCAGGATATTATTTATTGGTCCAGTGGTGAGGATTTTTGTTTTCTTGACACTGAGGTGCAACCCATACTAAAGGCTGTGATCTTTGATCTTCATCAGCAAGTAAATAAGTAAATAGGACAAAAGGGTAGTTCTTCATTACAGAAGAATTCACATTAATAAATGTAGAAAGCATAGAAATAGGGGGAAAAAATAGAAATGAAAAATTTCCATTAAGTATAAGCCATTTGTCTTAGTTCTCTTGGGCTACTATAAACAGAAATCTCACAAGTGGATGCCATTAATAGAAATGTGTTCTCTATCAGTTTAGGGGACTAGACATTCAGAGTACCAGCTCTAGGTGAAGGAGTCCTCTCTTTGTTGGCTCTGAAGAAAGTCCTTATCTTCTGTTTCAGCATCTATAGGCCCATATTCCTTGGAGACCTCCATATCAACCTTCCCTGGATCTAGGAGCTTACAGCACAAGGACCCCATGCCCAAAGGACACACCTCACTCCCAGGTCTTCTCTTTTGGTGGTAGCAGGTCTCTCTTTCTCTACTCACTTCACTGTCCTTTTCTCTTTGAAAGATCAAAGATGTTGCCGGCCATACCCCAGCAAGACTCCCTTACATCAGACCACGGATGTGTTGAGATGAAGGGTATTTTTGTAGTTATTGTTAAGTGCTGTCGAGTTGGTTCTGACTCATAGTGACCCTGTATAGGGTATTGTTTGTTGTTGTTAGGTGCCATTGAGTCGGTACCGACTCATAGTGACCTTATGCACAGCAGAATGAAACACTGCCTGATCCGGGGCCAACCTTACTTCTGTTGCCACACTTGAGTCCATCAATGCTGCCACTTGGCCAATCCATCTCGTTGGGGGTCTTCCTCTTTTTCTCTGACCCTCCACCTTACCAAACATGATATCCTTCTCCAGTGACTGGTCCCTTCTGACAATATGTCCAAAGTATGAGAGGCGAAGTTTGGCCATCTTGGCCTCTAAGGAGCACTCTGGCTGCACTTCTTCTAGTAATAGAGCCCTCCCTTAATCCTCGTATTGGTTGATCACATCCTGGGAAATCATCACATAATGGCCACATTACAACCTTACATAGCTTCCGAACCCCTGAAAATCATGATCCAGCCAAGCTGACATATTTTGAGGGAACACAACCCAATCTCTATGGCACTGTAACAATGGTTACAGGCAAGATCCACCAATGGATGCTAAGATCAGTAGCTGAGTTTGAGGAAAAAGAACATATTTGTTCAGGCTGAAAGTATCTCCACTAAGATATTTACTAATTGCAAAGAAGAATTAGTAACTTTACAGTGGAAATACCTGAATCTGACCAAAATTAACCTCATACGTATTAAGATATATCAACATGAATTTCATGCATTCTTGATACAATGCACTGAGAATGATACATCATCACTCCTGTGTTATTCCAACCAAAAATGCCTAAAAACCACAGTCTAATGATGTCAAAACATCAGGCAAGTATAAATGGACATTTTATAAAATAACTGACCAATACTCATCAAGTGTCAAGATGATGAGAGACAAAGAAAGATGGGAGAGTCCATGGAGTCTTGGTGTGATGCTGTAGGGTAAGGTTGGTTTGAACTGCAAGGTCGGTGGTTCAAGCCCACCAGCTGTTCCTCAGAAACCCTATACAGGGTCACAACACTTAAGAACCACAAGGAGCTAGAGGGGACGTTGATGGCTCAGTAATAGAATTCCTGCCTTCCATTTGAGAGGTTCAGATCCAGTGTCTGGCCATTGCTCCTCATGTGAAGGCATAACTCACGTATCAGTGGTGGGCTCTGTGTTGCTAAGAAGCTGAGCAGGTTTCAGTGGAGCTTCCAGACTAAGACAGACTAGGAAGAAAGGTCTGGCAATCTACTTCTGAAAACCAGCTAATGAAAACCTTACGGATCACAACAGTCAGATTCACAATTGATCATGAGGTGGCACAAACCCCCAGCAGCATTTCATTCCATTGTGCATGGGGTCACCCTGAGTCAGGGGTTGGTTGGAGGGCATCTAACAATAAAAACAAAGAGATGAAACAATTAAATGTGACATGGTCTACAGTATAGGTAACCATATAGTAACATTGTTAATGCCTTGTTATTGTTGTTATTGAGACCCCATGTACAACGGAATGAAACAATGTCCAGTCCTGCAGCATCCCCACATCTGTGCTGCTGTTTGAGCCCACTTTGCAGCCACTGTGTCGCTCCATCTCACTGAAGGGCTTCCTCTTTTCGCGCTCTATTTTACCAAGCATGACGTCCTTCTCTAGGGCCTGGGTCCTCCTGATCACATGTCCTAAGTTTGTGAGATGAAGTCTGGCCATCATCACTTCTAAGGAGCATGCTGGTGGTACTTCTGCCAGCACAGATTTGTCTGTTCTTTTGGCAGTCCATGATACTTTTAATATTCTTCTCTAACTCTATAACTCAAATGCATCAGTTCTTCTACAGTCTTCCTTATTCACTGACCAACTTTCATATGCATATGAGGCTGCTGAAAATACCATCTTTTGGGTCAGGCAAACCTAAGCTGAGAAGAGATGGGGTCATTTGCACAAGTATACCCAGCAAATTAATGTTAAATCAAGACTGAAGTCAAAACATATTGACATCACCAAATTTCACAACCTATGTTCCAGTAGTAAGCTTACTCTCAACCAAACAGTCCTGTCCTGAGGTCATTTATAGGGGGAAAAGGTGGGCAGCAGCAGAAGAAACAGAAGAATTGTAGGCAGCACTTACCAAGCAGAGAGGAGTACAGCCTCATCATGGAGAAGGCAAGGTGAATGGGAGATGTTTGGACCACAAATCTACAATGAAGACGAATAAATTCCAGACAGGGCTGAACGAGCCACATGAACATGTCATCAACCTGAGAGTAGAAATCTGTGTGAGATCTGGAGACGTTATCAGAAAGTAAGACGAAGACCAAGAGCTTGGTCCACCTGGGGGAAGCTGGAGGAGGTATTGGCATAATCACTACTGACTTGAGTATGGGGGTGCAGGGGAATGCCCACTGGTGCCAAGTCTTTGCCCTTAGCTTCCTCCTGAATGGTCCTAAGACTGTGCAGTCCACGGGTCATGCTGACCCAGTTTCCCATCCCCAGCCCATCCTTTCCACTGCCCAGAGTTTGATACTCAGTGAGGCTCAGAGTTACTGTCGTTCACAGAGTATGAAATAGGTCGAGGACCCAGCCACTGTGCCTTTGTTTTTATAAAAATGTTAGGAATTCTAAACAACGGATTTATAAACACCTAGAGACTCGACGGCACTTAACAACAACAACAACAGAGCTCTGGTAGCGCAGTGGTTATGAATCGGGCTTCTAACCTCAAGGTCGTCAGTTCGAAACTACCAGCGGTTCCGCGGGAGAAAGATGAGGCTTTCTGCTCCCGTAAAGATTTACAGCCTCGGAAACCCTGTGCAGGGTCACTATGAGTTGGAACCGACTCCACAGTACTTAACAACAACAACAACAAGCCTTTGTAACATGGGATACCTGCATAAAGTGGCCATGGGAAGTGAAGAACCAAATCTGAGGTTCATTTTCAGTAATTCACTTATTTCCTGATTTACTTCTTCCCTTTTCCCCTCCCTTCCACCTCTCTTTTCTTCCTTCCTTCCTTGTTTGTTTAGTGAAGGGATTTTTGAGAAGTAGATTAGCAGGCTTTTTTGTTAAAATTGTTTCTGGGTGGCCTCAAACTACCGAGCTTTCAGTCAGCAGTCTAGCACATTAACTGTTTCCACCTCTCAAGGACTTCCATATGTGCATATGGAAGGCTGTACAAGGGGACTTCAAAAAGTTTGTGGAAAAATGGAATTAAAAGGCATACATTTTAAAATGCAAACTTTTATTTCTCAATATAGGCTTCATGATGGTCAAGGCACTTTTGTGAGCGATGAGACCAGTCATTTAGTTCATCCCTAAAGAATGGAGGATCCTGGATATTGAACTGTATCATTGCAGTCATGTTGACATTACTAACTGAAGAAAAAGTAGTGCCTTTTAAAGATTTTTAAGATTAGGAAACATGAAGGAGTCGGAAGGAGCCAAATCAGGATTATAAGGTGGATGCCTACCAATCACCCATGGAAATTTTCACAACATTGCCCTTGTTTGATGAGAGGAATGAGTAGGACCTCTGTGTTGGTGAAGAAGGAGTCCCTGGTAAAACTTCCCCTGGTGTTTTCATTGAACTTTCTCAAAACACTCTCATAATGTTGGTAAGCGCTGTAGAGTCGGTTCTGACTCATAGTGACCCAGTGTAGGGTTTCCAAGGAATGGCTGGTGAGTTTGCACTGCTGACCTCGTGGTTCAAACTGACCCTGCAGTCCAGTGCTTATCCTACAGCACCATACCAGGACTTCACTCTCATAGTAAGCAGATGAAACATGGTTTTACAGTATGATCCTGAAGACAAGGCACAATCAGAGCAATGGCTAATCAAAGCAAGTGTGGACCAATCAATAACCAAGGTCATGGAAACAATATTTTTGGGATGCTCAAGGCATTTTTGCTTGTTGACTTTCTGGTGGATCAAAGAACAGTAAAAATATGTGCTTATTAGAACTCTCATAATAAACAGATGTTATTTATTTATTTTTATCTGCTAGGAGTCCTGGGGTGGCGCTGTGGGCTAATGCACCAGACTACAAAGCTGTTTGAACAGCAAGGTCGGTGGTTCAAGCTCACCAGTCGCTCTTGGGAAACCCTATACAGGGTCACTATGGGTCGGAACTGACTCGACGGCACTTAACAACAACAACAACAGGAAGTCAACAAGCAAAAAGCAAAACAAAAAACCAGTTGCACCTCTTGGTTGCTCTTTTCAAACTAATGTCTATCTTCTTAGTGCCTTAAATTAGTTTCTGCTCAACATACTATAACAAGTTAGTATGAGTTTATTTTGGTGCCAAAAATTTTGAAATCCATGCATAGTTTTTGTATATGTATTTCCATGAATTTTTTGAAGACCCCATGTAAGTGTATATATGGATATGCAGCACATTCAACAAATATTTATTGAGCATCGAGGAATTACATTATTATACATGTTGTTGTTATGTGCCATTGAGTCGGTTCTGACCCATAGCGACCCTGTATAGGGTTTCCGAGGGTGTAAATCCTTACGGGAGTAGAAAGCCTCATCTTTCTCCCGCGGAGCAGCTGGTA